ATCCACATAGCAGAAGTTAGCAAAGGGATGGATAGCAAAGGAAAATAGATGATAATAGCACAGAAAAAGATTGTTAGATAGAAATAAATCCTAATGTATCATCGGTATAAGTAATTAAAGCTGTAGTTAAAAAGATGATCAGATTGGGGCCGCGACCATGGCATATAAGGTTGAGCTTTTGCCTCTGGCACCAGCGTCACAGATAGGCACTCCCAACCACTCCACTTCTGATACAGCTTCCTGCTTGTGGCCTGAGAAGGCAGTGAAGGGTGTCTGACGTCCTTGGACCCTGCCCCCATGTGGGAGACCTGGAGGAGGCTCCTTGCGCCTGGCTTTGCCATCTGGAGATTGGGCCAATGGTTGGAGGAATGTTTCTCTGTCTCTCTTTATCTGTGTAATTTTGCTTTTCAAATAAAAATAAGCTCAAAATGATCAGATTGGAATTTAAAAAAACCAGTCTTATTCTCAAATGTCTTTAAGCGGTGACTAGAAATGTGGAAAGCTTGCTAGAAAAAAAAATAGGAAAAAAAAATTAAGCCAGACAAACATTAGGAGTCAAGTGATTGAAAAAGATGAAAAGCACACATATGTTCGTCAGTGTGTTCATGAGTGGATAAGCAAAGTGTGGTTTAAACATACAGTGCAGTATTAATCAGCCATAAAAATGAATTATATTCTGACACAAGCAAAGCATAGATGAACCGTGAAAATACTGTGCTAAGTGAACCAGCTAATGCTGAAAGGACAAGTCTGTCTGAATCCGATTGTGTGAAGTAGTGAGAATAGGCAAATTCATAGAGGCAACGTAGATGAGAGGTTACCCAGGGTGAAGAGAAGTAAATACAGTTAGAGAAGTTACACAATTGGGGTATTGAAAGTTACAGAAATATATGATTGTAGTAGTTGCATGAAATTGTGGATGTAGGCTAATGCTGCTGAGTTGTGCCTAAAAAATGGTTAAAATGTTGTGAAGGGGCATACAGAGTTGAGCTGTTGCCTGTGACACCAGCACCCCATATGGGTGCTGCTTTGTGTCCTGGCTGCCACACTTGCAGTCCAGCTCCCCACCAGTACACCTGAGAAAGTGGCGAAAGATGACACAAGTGCTTCAGCCCTTACATTCATGTGGGAGACTGGGTCCAGCCTCCGCTCTCCTGTCTGCTTTTCTTTTTTTTTTCCTTTTCTTTCTTTCTTTCTTTTTTTTTTTTTTTTAAGTTTTATTTATTTATCTTGGAAAGTGAGATATACAGAGAGGAGGAGAGACAGAGAATGATCTCTGTCTGCTGCTTTACCTTCCAAGTGGCCACAATGTCTGGAGCTAAGCTGATCTGAAGCCAGGAACCGGGAGCTATTCCGCATCTCCCACGTGGGTGCAGGGTCCCAAGGTTTTAGGTCGTCCTTGACTGCTTTCCCAACAGGGAGCTGGATGGGAAGCGGGGCTGCCGGGATTAGAACTGGTGCCCATATGGGATTCCGGCTCAGTCAAGACATGGACTTTAACCACTAGGCTACTGCGCCAGCCCCTTATCTCTTTTCTTACCCTTTTAATTCTGCCTTTTGAATAAATAAATGTATTTTTTTTAAAGGTTAAAGTGGCAAATATCTTGTAGCATGTTTTACCAAAGCACACCAAAAGTTTGAAAGCCGGTTGTTGATAACATCAAATCAAAATAAACCTGCAGGCAAAAGTATTTATAGGGAAAATGAGGGTCTTTTGCATAATTTCATTTAAACAAAAAAGTTGTGCATATATTTGGAAAATTACTTTCATTTCTCTCTTCGATTTCTTTAAACACAATGTCCAGCATACAATAAAAAATTGTAAGGTTGCTAGGAAACAGGATGTCATAACCACAGACAAAAAAAAAATCAAATTCACAAGTGTTACAATTGCTAGAATTAGATAAGAAATTTAAGTCTTACAAGTATTCTGAAGAGAGAGGAAAAGAGAAAAATGGATATAGAATATCAGTTACAACATGGAATCTCCTGAAAGGACCTAATAGACATCTAGATAACATTAATACACCTCAAATTAAGAGTGTATTGGCTAGAATTAATAGTAGATGGAATATAGCAGAAGACTGGATCAGTAATTTGAGCTAAGAATCAGTTGCAACCACTGCAGCTGAAACAACATTGGGTGAGATGCAAATATTGATTTAGAGTACTAGGAATGAATTGATGGGGAATGCATAGTTAGGTGCAATAGATTGCTGTGAGCCAGAACTAGGGTTAAGGTAGTACAATGAAAGGAAGGTATAAATGCAAACTTTGTTATGAACTATTCTTATTAGAAATACATTACCATAATCATTTTTACAAAAAGGAATTAGTAAGATTGGCAGGAAATTAGGTGCTGATGAAATAGATGGAGGAAGTAGAAACAGCTCCAAGGTTTACAGATAATAAATAGCCTTTATGCCAGGGACTGTGCTGTGTATTTTTATCACAATCTATGATTTTAATTAAAAAAACAAATGTTTGACTGTTATGTTTGTACTGATGAAAAAATTACTTGAGAACAGTGAAGTCCCCGGCATCTAAGAGCCAGTCCGTAGGAACTGATCCAGGTCTGGCTAGCTCTGAGAACTAAATGTTCTCTGTGTATATCAGTGTTGTTTGCACGTGGTAAGAGAGGAAGTGGCACCGAAAGCCATTGGAAAAAGGACTTGGCGTCAGGAGGCAACCATGTCTTAGGACAGCTACTCTGTGAGCGAGTTGGAATGCCAGGTTCCTCGGGTTGGAGCAGTGGCTTTTGGGGATGATCTTTGAAAAGGTTGGAAGCATTAGCAAGAGACTGTTTTGGCAGCCTTGGGGAACGTTCTTGCATGAGGTGGGAGGAAGATGAGGTGCCTCTGAAGCAGAAACCAAGAATGAATCAGGGAAGTGGGTGGAACATCAAAGGGTAATTTGATGGAAACCAAGGGAACACCTGACATTTTGTAGAATGTGAAAGAGATCAATGGTATAATTTGTTTATCTGATTAATGTAGTATGCTAGACACTCTGCTAGGTGCTGATGACAAAGATATGATCCAAACAGGTAAGGTTCCTGGCCTGGAGGATTAGGCTTTGTTGGAGAAGGTAGAAAATAAACAAATAAAGGGGAATAAATAGATCCAGTGTCAGAAAGTAGGGGAGAGGATGGCTATTTTATTTTTTTAATTTATTTTTTAGTTATTTTATTTTGTTCATCTTTACATAGTTGATTATGGTGTGGAGGGTCAAGGGCTACAGAAAATGGGTAAGACCATTGTTTCTACATTTTCTTTTTTCCTTCCTGTATCTGGGGAAGGAGGCGGGGGAACCAAAGGGAGAAGCCACACCCAGCCTCTCTACCATCCCAGGGTCCCCCAGGTGGGGCATGCTCCCAGGGCACTGCTCAAGTGGTTTTGACAGTTCAACAGTTCTGAACTGCTGCCAGTCTCAGATGGCTACTTTAAGTGAAGACCTGAGGATGCTGCAGACTTGACCAGGGAAATGAGACAATGGAATAGCTAGCTGCTCTGAGGCTTGGGAGGCAGTAAAGAGCTTGGCGTGGGTGAGGAGTTGATAGGGGGCCATGCAGCTAAAATTTCACAAGCCAGGACAGTGGTACACAGTGAGAGAAAGGTTGTCGGGGCTAGTTAGGAAGGCTCTGGCTGGGAGACATGGCTCTTTGTGCTTTAACAAAACTGGGTTGTTGTGTTTTACAGAATGTGCTAGGGGGCAGGGACAGAAACAGAAACAGTCTGACAAGATTGTAAATGTCCTGGTGGCTGACTGGAAATAAGAGATATGGAATATTTGTAGTGAAAACTCTTGGAGATTACATCTTATCAGTGTTTTGGTGGCATTTGTTTCTAAATCCTAATATCTCATTGTCATTTCCTAGAGAATAATGGAAGAGATTCTGAGAGTTTTCTTTTTCTTTTGCGCTGGAAATAATCTAATGAACAGTTTAGGAAGGAAAGTTAATGCTTTTGGACATTGATGACACTTTTGTTTTATTCTAGTAAAAGGTTGTTTTTGATGGACTTTTCTTTAGAATTGTTACTTTCCATTAAAACATTTTTTTTCTGTTGCTAGCTCTGTTAATATAGGTTGGTAGTACTAGGAATACTAGATCAAATTTATCAGTTGCCAAATAACTTCTAAAAATATTTTGTTGATATTTATGTGTGTTTGTTTAAATTTATTTTTACTGGAAAGGCAGATTTACAGAGAAGGGATCGGAAAGATCTTCTGTCTGCAGGTTCACTTCCCAAGTAGCTACAATGCCAGAGCTGAGCAAATCTGAAGCTAGGAACCAGGAACTTATTCCTGGTTTCCCACGTGGGTGCAGGGTCTCAACAAGCAGGGAGCTGGAGGGCAGGGGAGCAGCCAGGACATGGACTGGCGTCCATATGGGATCCTGGTGCATGCAAGGCGAGGACTTCAGCCACTAGGCTACCACACCAAGTCTTTTGTTGGTTTTTACTATGAAAGTTAAAAAGAGAGAGAGAGCATAATGTAATAAAGCACCATGCATATGCATTATCTGGTGTCAAAATCAGTCAGTTCATGCTGATTTTGGTCATCTGTACTTCCCAATATTTTTTATTCCCCTCTTCTTGCTAATTTCAGAACAGATTCCAGGTATATCATTTCATCTATAAGCATCTAGTGTGTAGGCTATAGAAGCTCAAGACTTTCCCACATTTTGATGTTTCATTTTATCCTCTCAGTGTGCCATGTCTGTATGATTTACACGTCAAAGTCTCAATTTGCACCTCTTGTTCTAGTGTACTAATGGTACTTTTTTTTCCCTTGAAAAAATGTTGTGTTTAGAGAGTAACTTCCATGGCCACTTAAGATAGATAGATAGATGATTGATAGATGATGACAGATAGCTAGAAAGAAAAGAAGGAAGGGAAGAGAAAAGAAAAGTAAGAAAGTCCTTTCCAAGGGCATGTGTAAGTAAATTCTTTAGTAGCACTTTCAGTATTCTAATTGCCTACTTTTATTTTTTAAATCAGGAAAGCAAACCCTGGTGTTCACTATTTGAAGAAATTACAGACTGAATTAAGGTGCCTCTTGAGTTGGAAAAAGGAAGGACCCCACAATTTATGGTGAGGATGGAAGGAATCTGCTGAATTCTCTTGATTATGTCTCCTCTCCCTTCATTTTATTTGTTGTAATTTGAGCAGAATCACAGAGATTATTCTTTTGAAAGCAAAAAGGCAGATCTTTAATATTTGAATCAAAAAGATAATGTGAATGCTTCAGAAATAGTGATTATGTTCTTTGGGATACTTATGTAGTTTTAGATTTTCCAGTATTAGGCTTTTCCACGCTAGACTTTTTATTGGTTTTTGTTGCCTTATCACTTGTTCTTAAACATTTTAGTAACACTCTTCAACTTTTTACCTAGGGGAAGAGAAGACTGAAACCTTTGATAATTTGCATCTTCTATAAAGGTAGAAACTGGTGATTTGAGTGGTGACATCTCTGTGAGGTACCGCTTATTTGTATTACCAAGGAAGTGGCACCTTTGCTGTTTCCATCTTCTCTCTTAAACTCAAAGAAATTTCATGAGGCTAAGGATTAGAGAAGGTCACGGATTCCAGATTATCTCAGAGTTATCAGCATGTCTTGTTAACAGTGTGGCTGTTACTTTGGGGGAAGGAATGAATGGAATAAACGAGATATTCTCTGGCATGTTAAGAGTTACTTCTAGTCTCCTTGATATTCTCTGGCATATTAAGAGTTACTTCTAGTCTCCTTGTGTCTGAGGGAGGAGCCAGTGGAAAGTTGCTGTAGCCATTAGTGCAACAGTTGAGAGACAACAGGGATTGTTGATTTAAGATGGATTAACCCAGAATACCCTTACATGCTCTGTGCTTTGTTTTCCTAGTGACATGCACTTACCTCCATTTTAGAAGATTAAGAAACTGAAGGATGATGTCTTAGAGCACTTCTGCCCCGAAGGGCAAGAAATAATTCCTCTTGTTGGTAAGTCTAATGTTCTTTCTCAAAGTCCAAGTTCCTATTTATATTTTGAGAGGAAGCACATGATGTCTGCTAATGGAAGATAAATGAGAAGAAAACTAGGAAAAGTGCCTTTCATCTGGGTTACTGTATCTGCTACTGGATAAAGATCAAAGAGTTTGCCAACTCTAAATTAACAAATTGAGCTTTTTTTTTGTTTTTTTGGTAAGGTCATTCAAAAAGATTTTTATATTAGATGTGAATATGGTTTGATAGGGAGTAGACAGGAACTGCTTCTCATTTAAAGATGAGGTCTGGAATAAGATTTGTAGGGCTCTAGTGCTACTCTACATCTAGTGCAATCAGAAGGGATGGGCCATGTAGATGAAAGCCATTGTAGGCATTTTGTCTTATCCATTGCTTTATTAAACCACAAGTAAACTACCCATGCCAAAGAAGGTCTCCAAGTTGGTCTGGCCTGGTTCTTGAAGACACATTCCAGTGTTCCCTCTTGTTCCATCTTACAGGATTGGAGCATTTCCTAGAAATGTGTTTAGACCTGGAGGGTTGTTGAACATGAGTTTTCCAAGACTGATGTGTTGTTCTTTCTTTGCAGGCCTGAGAGTTGGCAATGTCATGGATGGAGAACCAGCATTTATTTCAGGCCTAATCAGCTGCTTCCTAACTGCAAGCAGAAGCTATGTGTGTTTGTTGCTCAGTAAAACCAAGGAAGAAAGGCTATGGCAGCTGACAAAGTCTATCTGAGTTCAGGGTATCTTCAGATTTCATCATCATGGACTTCCTTCCTTCCTTCTCAACCACAATGTGGTTCGTTTTGCTGTTTGATAAAGACTAAGGCCATGTCCCTTGGCCAACAACCAGAACTTAAAATCTGCTGGAAAAGGGTCAGAAACCATTTCTGTTGCAGCTAAGGAAAATGAAATTTCCATTTTACTTGATGCCTGGCACAGGGGAGGGCACCAATTGTTGTAACAACGCGTGAGTGCACGCAGAGATTGAGTGTTGTGAAATAGAAGCTCGTGGTTATGGCGAGTGACCCAACGTGACCAGAGGTGGCAGGAGCCACAGAGGAACTCATGACAGGCTATACCATGTTGCGGAATGGGGGCGTGGGCAACGGAGGTCAGACCTGGATGCTGCGCTGGTCCAACCGTATCCGGCTCACGTGGCTCAGTTTCACACTGGTCATCATCCTGGTTTTCTTCCCCCTTATCGCTCACTATTATCTTAACACGCTGGACGAGGCCGACGAGGCTGGCAAGAGGATTTTTGGGCCCCGGGCTGGCACTGAGCTCTGCGAGGTCAAGCATGTGCTGGATCTCTGTCGCATCCGCGAATCTGTGAGCGAAGAGCTCCTTCAGCTGGAAGCCAAGAGGCAAGAGCTCAACAGTGAGATCGCCAAGCTGAACCTGAAGATTGAAGCCTGTAAGAAGAGTATTGAGAATGCCAAACAGGACCTGCTGCAGCTCAAGAATGTCATCAGCCAGACGGAACATTCCTACAAGGAGCTTATGGCTCAAAATCAGCCCAAACTTTCTCTGCCCATCCGACTGCTCCCAGAGAAGGACGATGTTGGCCTTCCACCTCCAAAGGTCACACGGGGGTGTCGGCTGCACAACTGTTTTGATTACTCCCGCTGCCCTCTTACCTCTGGCTTCCCAGTGTATGTTTATGACAGTGACCAGTTTGCCTTCGGTAGCTACCTGGATCCCCTCGTCAAGCAGGCTTTCCAGGCCGCCGCACGAACCAACGTCTATGTTACAGACAACGCCGACATCGCCTGCCTTTATGTGATGCTGGTGGGAGAGATGCAGGAGCCCGTGGTACTGCGGCCCGCTGACCTTGAGAAACAGTTGTATTCTCTACCGCATTGGCGGACAGATGGGCACAATCACGTCATCATCAATCTGTCACGGAAGTCAGACACACAGAATCTGCTGTACAATGTCAGTACAGGCCGTGCCATGGTGGCCCAGTCCACCTTTTATGCTGCCCAGTACAGACCTGGCTTTGACCTGGTAGTATCACCACTAGTCCATGCCATGTCAGAACCCAACTTCATGGAAATTCCACCCCAGGTACCCGTGAAACGGAAATATCTCTTCACTTTTCAGGGTGAAAAGATTGAGTCCCTGAGATCCAGCCTTCAGGAGGCTCGCTCGTTTGAAGAAGAAATGGAGGGCGACCCTCCGGCCGACTATGACGATCGGATCATTGCCACACTCAAAGCAGTCCAGGACAGTAAGCTAGATCAGGTCCTCGTAGAATTTACCTGCAAAAACCAGCCGAAGCCCAGCTTGCCTACTGAGTGGGCACTGTGTGGGGAACGAGAGGACCGCTTGGAATTACTGAAGCTCTCCACCTTTGCCCTCATCATTACTCCTGGGGACCCACACTTAGTTATTTCATCTGGGTGTGCAGTACGGCTCTTCGAAGCCTTGGAGGTCGGTGCTGTCCCCGTTGTGCTGGGGGAGCAAGTACAGCTTCCTTACCATGACATGCTGCAGTGGAACGAGGCGGCCCTGGTGGTACCCAAGCCGCGGGTCACCGAGGTCCACTTCCTGTTACGGAGCCTCTCTGACAGTGATTTACTGGCCATGAGGCGCCAGGGTCGGTTTCTCTGGGAGACCTACTTTTCCACTGCCGACAGTATTTTCAACACTGTGTTGGCTATGATCAGGACTCGCATACAGATCCCAGCCGCTCCCATCCGGGAAGAGGTGGCAGCTGAGATCCCCCATCGTTCAGGCAAAGCTGCTGGAACTGACCCCAACATGGCCGACAATGGGGACCTGGACCTGGGGCCAGTGGAAACAGAGCCACCTTATGCCTCGCCCAAATACCTCCGCAACTTTACTCTGACTGTCACTGACTTTTACCGCAGCTGGAATTCGGCTCCGGGGCCTTTCCATCTTTTCCCCCACACTCCCTTTGACCCTGTGTTACCCTCGGAGGCCAAGTTCTTGGGCTCAGGGACTGGATTTCGGCCTATAGGTGGCGGGGCTGGGGGCTCCGGCAAGGAGTTTCAGGCTGCTCTTGGGGGCAATGTGCCGCGAGAGCAATTCACAGTAGTGATGCTGACTTACGAGCGAGAGGAAGTGCTTATGAACTCCTTAGAGAGACTGAATGGCCTTCCTTACCTGAACAAGGTTGTGGTGGTGTGGAACTCTCCCAAGCTACCGTCAGAGGACCTTCTGTGGCCGGACATTGGCGTTCCCATCATGGTAATGGAAGAATGAGTGATTTGTTGGACTGCCTAGAACAGCATTTTTTTCTTTATTCCTTCCCCCATCTTTATTTTCTTAGGTCTTTTTTGGTAGAAAGAAATATGCTAAAGCTATTTTCTAAATATGCTAAAGCTATTTTCTAAACCTGAATATTCCTTTCCCTATGTAATTTCTGTCTGCTGTTTCTTCAGGCCTTAAAAGTTGCATGGCTGCTACTCCCTTTGATAGTGTCCTAAAGCTCCACTAACACTGGAACTCATACCGGATCAAGAGAGTTGGCAAAACCCCTTTAGTTTTCATCCATATCCCAGCAAAGATGGTGATAAGTAGTGAAAAAGCTAATGTGTGATTTAGGCACTGTGATTAGCATTGTATGGCTTATATCGTTATTCACTTTCTGTCTGTGGAAACTGAGGCTCAACGAGGTTCATTGATTGGCTCCAGGTCATGGTGAGTCATGGAGAGTCATGGAGGAGCTGAGCTTTATGTAGTATGTCTGATCCAGGAGCTGCAGGTTTGAGCATTCCCCAGAGGATTTTGAGAAGACCTGTGTCCTCTCCCAGGATATTATAGAAGCATTTTGGGAGACTGGATTTGATGTTTGGGAATGAGAGATCCTGAGCCTTCCCTTCTAGAAGGTCTTGAGGGTTTGTCATATGGTTAGATGCTCTACTCTATGGAAACAGTAATAGCAAGTGCAGGAGAGGAGACCATTTCAGATGACTTCCTGTGTATCTTCCTGCTGATTTAAACATCTCTAAAAGAGATGGCCCCCATTTTTCTTAAAATAAGACTGCCAACTACTTAGCCTACTATGTACGCCATTTGCTAGAACAAGGAAGCAAAGAATGGCAGATGCCTTGCTGGAAGATTTTTTTTTTTTAAGATTTATTTATTTTTATTGGAAAGTCAGATATATATATAGAGAGGAGGAGAGACAGAGGAAATCCTTTGTACAATAATTCACTCCCCAAGTGACTGCAATGGCTGGAGCTGAACAGATCTGAAGCCAGGAGTTATTCTAGATCTCCCACGAGGGTGCAGGGTCCCAAGGCTTTGGGTCATCTGCCACTGCTTTCCCAGGCCGCAAGCAGGGAGCTGGATGGGAAGTGGAGCTGCCAGGATTAGAACTGGCGCCCATATGGGATACCGATGTGTTCAAGGTGAGGACTTTTAGCTGCTAGGCCACACCACCAGGCCCATCCTCCTGAAAGATTTCTTAAGAAAACTATTGGGGCCTGGCACGGTGGTGCAGTGGTTAAGGTCCTTGCCTTGCACCCCCGGGATCTCATATGGGTGCTGGTTCTATCCCGGCAGCCCTGCTTCCCTTCCAGCCTCCCCGCCTGTGGCCTGGGAAAGCATTTGAGGACGGCCCAAAGCTTTGGGACCCTGCACCCGTGTGGGAGACCCGGAAGAGTCTTCTGGCTCCTAGCTTCGGCATAGTATTGGCCGTTGCGCTCACTTGGGAAGTGAATCATCGGATGGAAGATCTTCCTCTCTGTCTCTCCTCTCTGTATATCCGCCTTTCCAATAAATAAATAATAAAAATAAATCTTTTAAAAAAAGAAAACTATTGATCTGGGGCCAGTGCTGTGGTATAACTGGTTAGGCTGCCACCTGAAATGCCAGCATTCTGTATGGGTGCCCATTTAAATTGTGGATGGCTCTACTTCGAATCCAGCTCCCTGCTGATGGCTTGGGAAGGACAGCACAAGTGTTTGGGTCTCTGCTACCGTGTGGGAGTCCTGGATAAAGCTCCTGGCTTCAACCTGGTCAAGTACTGGTGCTTATAGCCATTGGAGGCATGAATTAGGGGCTGGAAGATCCCTTTCTCTCAGTAACTTTGAAAATAAATAAGTAGTTTGTTAAGAAAATCAGTAGCTTTTTAGAAAAGGCTTATCTAGAAGGGGATGCTTGAGCTACTTCATTCCAAGAAGTTTCTTCAATGAGGAATTAATTTTGTTTGTAATGTTTTCTTTAATAGGGATTTTTGTTTTATTTGAAAGGCAGAGTTGGAAGGGGAGACAGAGAGAGCAAGATCTTCCATCATTGATGGAGTCCTCAAATGGCTGCAATGGCCAAGGCTGGGTCAAGTGAAGCCAGGAGCCTCCCTTGTGGGTGGCAGGGGTGTAGACCCCTGGCCATCTTCTGCTTTCCCAGGTGCATTAGCAGGGAGCAGCTGGGACTCGTTGCTGTGCTGTGATACTGGCCCCATGGTGGTGGTTTCTAAGTAGCAGCATAATGTGGTAGAATAAGTGCTCTTGGAGTGGTGTGACCAGGGGTAAAATAGTCATTTCATGATCATCAACAAGCTAATTAGCTTCTCTGATCTGCCCTATGGAAAAATGGCACTAATAGTAATACGTTAGAGTGGTTTTTCCATCTAGAGTCGGGCATTATCTACTAGCTTCTGGTTACCACATCTTTAAATGAACAGCAAGCAATTTCCCAGATTCCTGCCCCTCAGGGAGAATCACCTGAAATCTGTGCATTGGTTTGGTTCAATGAATCAACCTGAAACCTCTGCCATGTCAGAAGCTGCCCAGCAGTTTGTACTTATGCTACAGTCCTCAAACAAGCAGTAGATTAAGTGCCAACTAGTGGGCTGTGAAATATGTTGAATCAGAAATATTTAGATGGGGAAGGATTGTATGAGGGCTTCCTGATAGAGCTTATATATTGGATTTCATCATTGTTTTCTAATCCCTGTTTGCACAAGCAAGGAGTCAGGCTCAGAGAGAAGGTAATGTTTATTGCAGTTGTCCTCAGATCAGTTCCATGCTCTTCGTGAAGAGAATTTCAGCTTAAGCTGAATTGCTGGTGAGGGAGCAGGACCTTCCAAGAGGTGGGAGAAGCTCTGCGGATTAAAGTGAGCTCTCATCGAAAAGCTGTGAGACTGAAGACTTGTGCTTCCTCTCTGTTTGCACTCTTTGTTGCTTCTGTATGTTATTAAGAATTGTCTTTAGCTCCTGGAGCATAACAACAAAGATATACCTAAGGGAAGTCGGATGGAGAATTGATAATGCCAAGTGATTTGAGGTCTGGTGTTTTGAAAAAAATGCCTCCCCCAACCCTTGGCCCTGTGTCCCCACTGTTGGAAACCACACTTTTCTTTCTTTGTTTCTTTTAATGTTCATAATTCTCTAATTTATTTTTGATGTTTGCATAGTTAAGGATGCAGGCCCTTGTTGACCATTGATTGGGATGGAGAAGATTGAGGAATGGGGGAAAGTGGGTGAGACAACTTTCCAATCTTCTTATTTTTATGTATCTGGGGAAAATGGAGAGAGTAGGGGATAATGCCATGTCAGCAACCAACTGCATCACTACCCCGGGATGGGGAACAGCCGCCCAATATGATTCCGGGGTTCCCAGTGTGGAGCATATTCTGAGGGTACTGCTAAAGTGGTTTTCATAGTTCTGAGATGTTGATTTCATTGAACCAAGGTTGAGGAAATCCTTCTAAGTTCCATTGGTTGACATAGTTCACCTTAGAGTTTCAGTTTACCCAGATACTTGATGTCAAAGCTTGGCTCTATACTGGGATGGTTGGGAGGCCGGGTATGGCCTATTTTCCATCTCTATTTTTCCCCTAACCCCAGAAGTAGAAAGAAGAAATAGAAAGCTTGGGCATAATGATCACACCAACTTCTCCCTAACCCTAGGTCCTTCCCACTCTGATCGACTATGTAAGCATCATCTAAAAAATAAAAAAAACTTTTCCAGGAGAGCTAATTTGTTTTGCCCTCCATGGTACTAGATGTTTTCTGCAGTCCTCAGTGAACTGGTGGTTGTCATGTTCCCCCAAGAGCCTCTGAGCATGCTGTCCACTTCACAGGCTTTAATAACCCAGGAGACTCAATTCTGACACATGCACTCCACGGTCAGACCACAGATCCTGTAATTTTCCCTGTAGGTGGAATTTTGAGTTCAGTGGTTTAGACCTTGTGTGTTTACGTGCCCACGCTTGTCCCCACGTATCCTTTTAAAAAAAGAAAAGGCAATTATGTTGGCATAGTGGTATAGTTAAGACAAATTTGGCATTAACGAGGCCCAGCTGTTAGCTGCTTTTCTCCCAGCAGTGTAATGTAACACTTGCCTAGGTATAATCAACCTAGGCAGTTGCTGGGGTGGAAACCGTACTTTTCATGGCACTGTAAAGGTATTCCACTGTTTCCAGGCCTCCATGGTTTTCGATGGTATGTCAGTGGTTTGTTTTTTTTTTTTTTTCCCTCAGACTTTGGCTTTTCTACATGAAATGTGTGGTTTCCTTTGGCTGCTTGCAGGGTTTTTTCTTTATTTGCTTTCAGTAGTTTTGTCTATTATATGCCTTGCCATTGTTTTCTTCAGTTGTTGTTTGAGTAGTTGCTTTGGTTGGACTTGAACTGAAGGTTCTGTCCCTGAAATGACAACGCAAATGTTAAGTTATTTAATATTGAGCTGATCTACTCACAGACTACAACAAATGTGCATGCTTTAGGAGACAGGGATGTTTATGTAAAAAACTTGAAGCTCCCCTCCTCTTGCTTTCTCCTCTCTGGCGTTTCCTTTCTTCTTGCAAGGGATAAGGTTGCACCAAGCTCTCTCCTCTAATTCTCCCAGCCAGAAAGTCAGGTTTCACGTGAGAATTTCTGCTGTCCCTCCCAGTGCCACTCCAGGCCTGCTTTCAGGGTTAAAAGCAACAGTAACGTCCTGTAGTCTTACCTCCCTCCCTCTAAAATGTAGCTCCTCTTTTGTTTATTCTACTCTACCTTCAGGAAGCTGCCTTCTCTGGTCTTTGAGTCCAGGGTTGATCACTGTCAACCCTGACAGGTGCTGACTTGGCCTCCTGGAAGCAGAACCCTTGAAGGTACCCCTCTCTGGTACAGAGAACCACTAAGTGTTGTATTGGGTTACTGCTTTATTCTGATCCATTTACACATCTTTTGGATAATATGAAAGCTTTTTATAAAAGATCATGGAAAATATAGTGAAAAGATAATGGATATGTTCCATGA